TTTAAGGAAAGGAAGCTTCACTATCTCCGAAAGGAAGCTTCACTATCTCCGAAGAAGAAGAAGAAGAAAAAAAAGAAAGGAGTAAGAAGAAGAACAGGAATCAAACTGAGAACCATCAGGAGAAGACGGATAAAAAACAAGCAGATGTCCACTCTTGGATAAGTTGTATAGCGGGAGATTTGAGTATCAAACTTAATAATCAAAGTCTATTTCTCTCTCTCTCTCTCTCTCTCTCTCTCTCTCTCTCTCTCGCGCGCGCGCGCGCGCGCGCGCGCGCGTATACATCGTACTAGACACTTACACACTTACACACACACACAAAGACACACTTACACACACACACACACACACGCACACAGACACACATGCACACATGCACACACACACACACACACACACACACACACACACACACGCACACACACACACTCTTAAGAGCTGTTGATCTCATTCGGAATCAGCGTAGCAGCCCTCCTCCTCAGATGACTGTCTGCTGCCGTCATCCGAATCTGGGTCATCCTCCACCACTGTCTTGTGCCTGCGTCGCGGTTTTTTTTTTTGAGCCGGTGCAGCGGGCGCTTCGGTCTTGTTCTTTCGAGGCCTGCCACGAGCACGTTTGGGCTGTGCAGGGGCGTCCTGTGATGGCTCCTTTCTTTTCCTGCCAACCCTGCTCACCCACAGGTTGTCATGTTGGACAGCCTCGTTTATCTCAGGGAATTTCAACATCTTATCCGCGGACTCCGGAGAGTCCGCTGGTCGTGGCCTGCGTGTGTACACAACTGTTGCTGTGGACTGGGGCTTGTCTTCGTGGGCCTTTCCAAGCACGTCATGCTGCACCTCCTGCTGCACCATGCCCTCCCCCTCTTCTTGCTGCTCCATCTCCTCTTCCTCATGTGGTTGCACCACGTCTTTGCCCGCTTCTTGCTGCTCCATCTCCTCTTCCTCATGCGGTTGCACCACGTCTTCGCCCTCTTCTTGCTGCTTCATGTCCGCTCCCTCCTCTCGTTGCATCACGTCTTCGCCCTCTTCTTGCTGCTCCATGTCCTCTCCCTCCTCTCGTTGCATCACGTCGTCCCCCTCTTCTTGCNCTCCCTCCTCTCGTTGCATCACGTCTTCGCCCTCTTCTTGCTGCTCCATGTCCTCTCCCTCCTCTCGTTGCATCACGTCGTCCCCCTCTTCTTGCCGCTCCATCTCCTCTCCCTCCTCTGGTTGCTGYTGCTCCTCCTCTTCTTCCTCTTCTACCTCTTCCACGACCCCCAAAGCCCGATCCATATGCTGTTGATGCTCCAAGGCGTTTTTCTGGCCTCTCTYAATCTCTCTGCSGGTTGGGACAGSTGCACGGCGGGCCTCCTCCTCCATCATCCGTTTTCGGACTAGGTCGCTGTCCCTGTCAGCCATAGCCTTGGCACGGTTGGCATCCTCTTCATCTTCGTCAACCCCGGTTTGCAGCAACATCTCGAGGTCCGTATCTGGCTGTGCAAAGTTGACGTCGAGCTGCGGATCGTACTGTCCTGTTCCCCCTGCTGTGGCCGGTGTTGCTGCCAGGCGTGCCTCCTCTCTACGCTGTTGTCCAGTTCGCCTCCTGCCTACATACGTTGTGCCCGGGACTGCAGGCTCTGGTTGCAGCTCAAAATCGGAATCAACATCAGCCTCCTCTTCGTTGGCAGTTGAATTGTCTGACGCTCCACACTTCCCCTTCCACAACTCATCGTCCAAATCACTGTCGTCCGTGTGCTCTTCCTCAACGTCCTCGAGATTCTTGGAAATCCTTCCCTTTGGAGTTTTCACGAGCCTCCTTTCCGAACAAGCTCCTCCTCTGTCTTCTCGGCCTCGTCCTCGGGCCCCTTCAACAATGATCCGTCGTCCTCTGCAGGCTCCGAGATGGGCTCGACGAACGAACTCCACAAATCCACATAGCCCCCGTCCTTAGTCTCCGGAAGACGCAATAGCTGCATGTTCCAGTGGATGCAGACGAGCTTCTCCAAGCTCTCCGGCGCCAAGCTGTTCCTTCGTTTGGAGTGGATGAAGTCCATGGAAGTCCAAGTCCTCTCCGCCGGTGATGCGGTGCTCCACATGCCCATAACCTTGATCACAATCTTCTGCAATTCGGGCACATCGCCACCATGTGCTGCCCACCACTCTGACGGTGTCTTCCTCTCAACATCTGCCTTCACTGTGGGGTCCCACATCTTTGTGTCCTTCCTCTTTGGGCCGTTCCTTGTGGGCTTGGAGTTGAACTCGGCCATGGCACCCCAAATCTCGACGTGCTTCGGCCCTCTCCAAGCACCTCCGATCTGCCTCGAAAGGAAACACATCGCATTCTACACAAGCGCGCTGTCTTGATCGTGTAGCCACCTCGGCTCTCTCCTGTATGGGTCCAGAAGAAATGCCAATGCGTGGACGGGCTGCCGCATCATCTTGATGCGATCTTTGACTCTGTCCATTATCCTCGCCCGCTCCCCCGCCGTTAGAACGATGTGCGCGAACTTCCTCTCTATGAGGTCGTCATACTCTATGAGGTTTGTGGGAGAAGACCCGTCCTTATCCATCCGCCTCAAAACGCTGTACACGGGCTCCATCACCTAAGTCACCTTGTGCAACTCTATCCACCGATTGTCATTCCGCAAAGTGAAGTACACCAAATCCGCTCTGGCCTTCAACTTCGTTGTAGACCACCGAATCGCCTTCCACTTTCCTGCATTTCGTCCATCAACCATGTCCTTCAACACCGCCCTCCTATCGCGAATCCTCTCCAACATTTGGTAGACAGACCCGAAGCGAACCTCTGTAGGCCGAAGCAGAGACAACGAATCGTCCAAGGACATCATCTGACTTTGTGTGCTGTGATGATTTTTTATGAACTTGACGATCGTGTGGCCCCTCTTCACGGTGTTCTTAACCCACTTGAGCTTGCTGAGGTCCCGTAGAAGAAGGCTGCAGCAATGCGCAGCACAAGGAACCCATGGGATCCTTGCGATATCCTTGTCTGTTCGGCGCTCCAAGATCTGGGCGGCCCTTTTGTTCACCCCCGCGTTGTCGGTGCAGATCGCATTGATGCGATGCACCCCAATTTCCCTCATAATTTGCTCCCACAATTTTGCCAATGCAGGTGCGGTCTTCTTCCTCCCCGTCATTGACACCGTCGCCACCAAGACTGCACCACTTTCCCCAGCAGCCAAGAAGTTCATCATCGGCCGCTCGCGACGAGCGCTCGACCCATCTGTGATGAAAGTACATCCAGTCACATCCCAGCAAGTTGTCAAAGGCTCCACGGACTTTTGTACACGCATGTAGATGAAGTCCAACATCACGGTTCTCATGTGCTTGTAGGAGGGCAATTTCACCTGCGGTCTAGCGTTTGCCACCTGCAAGTACACCTCATGGAGTTTTCGAGTGGTCTCGAAATTGAGGAAGTTGAATGGAATTCCATCACGAAAAATGGCCTCCGCCCACGCAACGTCCAGTTTCTTCTGCGCGTCGTTGTCCACCCACCTCCATATTGTCGACTGTTGCAGCGTGGACACTCATGTGTTCGACCCTGAACCCTCTCCCAACCCCCCATCCGGAGCATTAACTTGCTGCGATGCTCCCGCGTCAGTTTTTGCAGCAGCCCTGCCTGCAGTGGGCGGTGGTTGTGGCTCCAGGTATCCGGGGAGATCGTCCTCCACCTCGGCTGTCTCCGTTGCAACGACCCCCCCCTCCGGAATTCCATGCAGCTGCCTGTAATTTTTTAGGAGGTACCGCGTATTCTTGTCGCCCGGCTGCACTTTTCCCCCACCAGTGACGAGCTCGTTGACAATCTCCCCTGTTCTCAACGGACATGGCTTCTGCGGCTTCAGGTAATGCTCGACCGCCCTTGTGCTTGTGCCCCTCCAAATCTGCGAGCATAACCGACACCTCACCCAATACTCGCCTCGTGCATTCGGCCCAACCTCCTGTCCCTGTTCCGCGTACTTCCACACCGTTGTTTCCTTCTGCAGCTTGAGCTGCCTCGTCTCGTCTTGTGGAACGAACAGTGACGGGTCCGTTGCCGGTGTGGGGTCTTTGAAGGTCACCGTCGACGCAGGTGTACCGGAGGTGCTTCCACCTTTGCACTTTCCTTGGTCTGCTGCTGTTCCAGACCTGCCACCACCCGCCATGATGTCGTGGAAGAGAGTACGGAGGAGGATGAGTAGAAGAAGAAGAAGAAGAAGTGGAGGAGGAGGAGGAGGAGAAAAAAGAAGGGGAAGAAGAAGAAGAAGAAGAAGTGGAAGAACAGAGGAGGAGGAGGAAGAAGGAGAAGAAGAATAAGAACGAAGGAGTGAGGAGGAGGAAGAAGAAGAAGAAGAAGCAGAAGAAGAAGAGGAGGAGGAGGAGGGGGAAGGAGGAGGAGGAGGAGGAGGAGGAGGACCGGCCGATTTTGAGTCGGTTTGACGGAATTAAAAAAAAAAAAAATGACGAAGGAGGAGGAGGAGGAGGAAAGAAGACGAAGGGAGGAGGAGGAGGAGGAGGAGAGAAGAAG